AGGGGGGCTCCCCGGAGATGGTTGCATCCTTTGCTTACAAAGAGAGGGCACACGCCCCGGGCTGCCCAGCTCCTGATCAGTTCCTGTTCCTCCTCATGACGGCCTCCTCCTCTCCCACATTCTCCTGCAGGGGAGGGGCTTCCTGGTGCCATCCTTGGGTTCCCAGGACCCGCTCGCTCTCTGGCTCTTTTGTTCCCAGCATCAGGTTCGCTCACACCCTTTGGCATTGCCTGGCGGTCCACCCCTGCCCCGAGGATGCCGCGCACCCCGGGCTGGGCATCTGGCCCGACTCCCGTTGCACCTGGCTCCCCTTCGCGTCTCTCAGACTCCCGCCTCCTCAGTTCTGCTCTCAAGGCGGGCTTGAGTTTGCCCAGCCAACCTGACTCGCTACGTGAACCCTGTGGCTAGATTGCCTCAGATCGCAGAGGCTGACTGTGGTCTCAGCCACCCCGAAGTCTCCGTGTCGTGGCCTAGCATTCTAGACGTGCAGTAAGTTAACTCGAGCACCTTCCTCAGAAGGAGCCTTGTCCCACAGTGGTCCTGAGCTCGCTTCCTCACGGCACGTCCACGGTGCAAACCCACCAGACTGCTCCAAGAAGCAAGGCCTGGGGTCCTTCCTCCTCTGCCACCCGTGGCCGCTGGGAGCTGGCCTCAAGGCCGTGGCCCCTAGCAGCAGCCTGTTTGGTGTACCTGTTCTTGTGCAGGGAAGGCGCCCAGTCCAGTGGGCAGTAGATCAGGTCCCGAGGTGGAGTGAAGGACACGTGGTCCCGGAGGTCTTCCTCCTCCTCCACTTTCTCTCACCTGTTTCGTGACCGTAAAACCAAGGACATCGGGGTCCATGTCGGTCATCAGCAGGACCTACGATTCTCAAGGACAGAATGTAACTCTGTCAGGTCTGCCCCACAGCAGTCTCGAGTGCAGCAGATCGGAGCCCCGCCCGTCCTGAGCCATCCTCGCAGCTGCTTCTCTGCGGTAGTCCCTGGTTACAGCCACCGTGTTGGTCCATGTTGCTGAGGATAAGATCGGTCAGCTGGCCAGTGCTCTAGCTGGCTGGTCACTTGGCACAGTCGACTTCCCAGCCAGCTGTGTTGCTGCCTCAGTCTCGCGGTCTGTGAAACGGGGGCAAGGTGGGGGTCGGTGGGTGGCGGGATGAAGCCATGGGGCGAAGCCCTCATCCATGTGCACATGCTGCCCACCGAGCTATCACGTTGATGCCCCCACGGGGTCTCCTCCCACCCGGAGCACGCGAGCCCGAAGACCACGTTTCTCTCGAGCTCAGCGGGAGGCCAAACACAGATGCACCTCGAAAGTCCGGGGTCACCATCAGACATCTGGCCATTTTGCAGCTCGTCCCTCCCATGGAAACAAGCGTCCCCTCGCTCCTTCCCGGAGCCCCAGTGCGGAGTCTGAGCCTCGGCAATTATCATCATTCACAAATAATTTACGTTTCGGAGCAAACGGGGGCCACCATATTGCCGTGATTGTATTTATTCAATTTACACGATGGCTCCTTGGAGGACTCATTTGGAAGCGTCTGTGTGCGCAATAGATACAAACAGTTTTGGGGGTGGGGGGGTGGGCAGCGTCTGCCTTTAGCATTCTGCCATGGAACGAACATTCCAAATTAATACGAAAGGCCTTTACGTGTTCGAATACACTGCTTGTAAACGTTGAGTTAGTGAAAGAATGCAATTGGGGAGCGAGTTTAATTAGGGGGGTGGGTGCCTGGTCTTAAAGAATGCCTCATCCTATCACCTCACCTGACTCGTACCGGCTGGATGGGGGCAGAGAGGTGCTGCTGTCCATTCCTTAAGATGCCATTCATCTTGGGGGAAGCATTTAAGGACAAAGAAGCCGGTCAGACGTTCTTGACCACACGCTGGTAAGCGAGACGTTCACGGGGGCCAGGCTGCTCATCCCCTTGCCTGTCCACCCACGCACTCAGCCCGCAGGACACGCAGCACTCACACACAGACTGGAACACTGTCCGGTCGACCAAAGCCACGTCTGTCCCCCTTCAGGGGATTCTGGTGCCCGGTGGCCCCGTGAGTCACACAGCAGAACTGCTCCGTGGGGCATGCTGGGCTGTAACCTCGCAGGGTAACACTGCTCCATCTTGGGAGGTGGGGGTGAAGGCTCCGGAAGGTCACAGCAGGAGTCCTGCTCTGCCTGGTCAGGTTGCTTTGAGTGGGAACTGAGTGGAAGGCGGTGAGTTTGGTCAGGTTTGATGAGCATGGCCCCCGGGGCTTTCTGGACGGTCACCTTTATGGATGGAGATTGCCAGGCCTCTCTTCTGCACACCTCCAGGTGGCTAGAAGAAAAACCCAGTGCAACTCAGACCCGCACCGGTGCCAGGCCCAGCTCCGGGCCTGCTCCTTCGACCAGGACTCGGCTCCTTGTCTTCCTTTGCTTTGCCTCCTCCTCATCTCCTTTCGCTCCAGCCCCATCTGCCAGGAGAGTCTCCCAGTTCCCCTACTCTGCATTCTGATGAGCCTGCCCGCCCCTTGGCTTCTTGTGGCAGCGGCGGAGGCAGCAGTGGTTGGACCATAACTCATTGTGCAGCCCGTGGTGATTGCCTCTAAATTGGCCAAGGGGGGATGCGGGCTGACTTTGAAAAATCCAAGCCCTCCCTCTGGCCGGCCCGAGAGGAGATTGCCAGCCGACTTCGGGAAGGGGCAGGACACTTGAGTGATGACATCTCCATCCCTGGCGCTAACTCTGGAGCATCTATTCAAGCGTGTTGTTTTCTGCTCTGGAGGTCCGGATGCTAGCAAGCGCTGCCTTCTCTGGGGCGGAAGGAAAGACAACCCCCAACCCAAAGCCCCTGCCTGCCATTCGGTACAGACACAGGACCGCCCTCCAGGACAGCATAGGGCCGCGTCCTCAGGTTTCAGAGGCTGCAACTCATTACAGAAGTGGACTGCCTCATCTTGTAGCCAAGGAGCGGCTGGTGGGTTTGAACCACTGACCTCTGATTAGCAGCTGAGTGCTCAGCCCACTATGCCACCAGGGACCTTGGGAATGCGGCCAATAAAGACAAAATCCTGGGCTTGGAACGGTCAGGTCACATCGGCTGGTCGTCTGGCAAGGTGTGCCCAGCTGATGAATGCAGGCCCCAGTCCCAAGTCTCCTCCTGGAGAGGGGAGGGGGCTTGTGTTTTGCATTCACTCCCCCGAGCCTCCAACGGAGGCAGAATTTACAGAGCATGAATTAACCATTGGAAGTGACCATTTCCGTGGGCGCTGGCATGGTCACCATGTTGTAGGGCCAGCTCCTTCCCAAGCAGCCTAAGTCCTCCCCTTGGGCTGTCTCCACCTGGACCCGCGGGCTCTCTCTCTGCGCCTCTAAGTCCCCTCTCTGCTTCGTTTGCTTACAGGGCAACTTCGTGGCCTGCATGACAGCGATCCTGCGGCAGATGGAAGACTACCATTACGCCCATTTGATCAAGACCTTCGGCAAGATGAGGACCGACGTGGTGGTGAGTGTGGCCCAGGCCGTTCTCACACGACCGTCTTCCGGGTGTTGGGGGTGGTCCGGTCTGCATTGCCCTCAAGGGAATTCTGTATTTTGAGTAGGGTGGTTGTGTCAGAACTTGCCTCCGATCTGATTCCAGAAAGGTGGCCAATTAACCAGACACATGGTGCTGCCAATCCCTTACCCAGTGTCATCTCTGAGCTAGACCGGGTCCAGTTTCCTGTGTGGCTTCTTTATCAGTGACCTGGGATCGTGACCGAATTGCCCACGGACAGAGTACCGCTACCTGCTGTCCACGGCCGGGTCTTTGCAGCCTTCAATCGCACAGTCGTATGTCACTGTTAATTAACTGGGGTCTCGCCGGCATCAGTCCACAGCACCCTCCTGCCATCCCCAGTCAAAGTACCATCCAACTTAATTAGGGAAAGTAGGATGGAGAGGAATTTATCGCTTGGGCGCTACCTCCTTAATGACCTGAAAGTGCACTGCCATATGGCAAACCAACTCTGCAAAGCTTCACCCTTACGGGCTGGCAGGCTCCCAGGGGCATGGTAATCTCAACGCTGGGGGGCTGACGTAGCCTAGCTCATGCCTGTGAAGTCCTGGGACATCAAGGAATATAACGAGATTTCCTGGCATGTTCAGTGCCAACAGTCCCCTCCTGGATGTCTTTCCTGAGCAGGGAAGAGAAGAAGAGGGGACTTTTCATGTGCCTTTTGGAAAAAGTGATTCATTCCAATACCAAAGAGTCTTAGCATTTATGTTAGTCCAGGTTGGCTAAAGAAATAAATCATAGACACCCGTATGTGTGTAAGAGAGAACTTTATATCGTATTGTACATTAAGAAAACATCGCAGTCCGGTCCAGATCAAGTCCATAAGTCCGATATTAGCCCATATGTCCAATACCAGTCCGTGAATTCCTCTTCAGACTCAAGCAAAACATGCAATGATGCCGAGTGCAGGATGATCACAGGCCAGTGGGCGGAAAGTCCTGTGGATCCGGTGGTGGTGGAAGCATCTTAGCACTGGCGTGGGTCTCCACGTGGCTCTTCCCACTCCAAGGCTCTGGCTGCCATCAGCATAGCTCCATGTGGCTTTTCAACAGGAAGATGAAGCAGAGAGTGTGTCTGGCCTCCAGTGAGTTATTTATCTCCTTAGTGCTTCCAAATGAGGTCATCAAGCTGTGACCTGATTGACAGGTTAGACTCTACCCCTTCCGCAAGTTGACAATTGATGATGTAACTTCCACAGCATCTATTACCAGTGTACACACAGAGAGCCCTGGTGATGTTGTGGGTTAGGCATGGCTGCTGACCATCCGGTCGGCGATTCAAATCCACCATCTGAGGGGAACACCCTGTATGGAGAGCCACTATGGGTGAGAATGGGCTTGATACTGGATAGCACTGGGTACGGACCCACACACCCCCTCTCAAACTCCCCTGCCATCGCATCCATGCCTTCTTCCAGTGACCAGAACTGCCCCTGTGGGTTTCCGAGGCTGTAACTGTTTACAGGATAGAAGATCTCATCTTGCAATTACTGACCTCACGGCTAGTAACCCAGCAAGGAGCCATTCGGCCACCAGGGTTCTTGATACACTGGAAGGGGCTTCAACAAGTTGCGGAAAGTTGGAATTAAAAGATGATGAACATTTTCACGTTTCGGAAGCCCCCTTTGCTGTGTGTGTGTTATGTGTGTGTTTAATTTCCAAGAATACAGAGGCAGCTATACTGAAAACCAGGGTTTTTTTCTGCTACTAGAAGCCCAGGAGAAGGAGTCTGGGTTTTCAATGATTGTTCATGAGCAACATAAAGTAGGGGCCCGGCCCTTCAAATAACCAACACCTCTTGCGTTCACACCCTGGGGCTCTGGGGCCGTCACAGTTTTGTGAAGCCCAGCCTTGCCGGTTGTAACACGGTATGCCACTTGAGGCTCAAAGGAAGGCATCTCTGATCCCCGTGCATGTGAGCAGTCGGTATCCTCAGAGACGTGTGTCAACAATTCCAAGGTCAAATCCAGGCTGAGTCATCATGGTTTTAGAAGGCTCGGCACCCTGAAGAACTCTTCTGCAATTAATAACATGCCCTTCATCTGGGAGCCAGGCTCTACCCGTCCCCCTGCAGGCTGCACGGAGCATCTCATGTGAGCCCCATCTCATGTGAGGGACGTGGTCGAGGAGGAGCACTGGGTGCCCTGGACAGTATGTATACAGAGGTACATACCAGAGTGCTTTGAAAAGCCCCTGCCCTTGGCTGCCTTCTGAGCAAGTGCTCTCTCTCACTTTGATGGGGCCTCTGCGTAGTCCGGCCCTGATTTCCCTAGGGGTGGGGTTGGGGGTTGGTTATCCGTAGACACAGCAGTTTCAAAACTCAATTATTTGCAGACAATTTCCCTTCTAAAAAAGGCTTGTGTGGCTCGGGTGGCGGCACAGTCACACTGCAAGGGATGTAGACCCCTTGCTTTCTTGTTAATCCGTCCCCACGAGGCGCCTGCATTTCTATCCACCAGCACCACGGGGAGGGCTGCACTGCTTTTCTTTTCCCAAGCCAGCTGCAACTGAAATCCAAGGAGAGTGCTTGCAAAAGGTGGGGCCTGGGGGCTAAGGGGTTAGGCAGTCAGCATGCAGGGAGAAAGGTGGGCCGTTTGAGTGCACCTGCTGTTTCCTAAGATGGGAAAGAAAGATCTGATTCCACCCACAATTTTACAGCCTTGGAGACCCCGTGGGGCACTTCCACTCTGCCCCCATGGGTCATTCCGTGGGAGTGCAGTGGTTACACATTGGACAACTCACCACATGGTCAGCAGTTCAAATCCACCAGCCGCTCCACGGAAGAAAGATGAGGCCATCTGCTCCCATAAAGCTATACAGCCTCAGAGACCCACAAGGGCAGTTCTACCCCATCCTACAGGGTCACTGAGAGTTGGAACTGACGTGCTGGCCATAACTTTGTTTTCTGGAACATCCTGGTGGCCTAGTGGATTGTGCATTGGGCTGCAAACTACAAGATCAGCAGCCACCCTGCAGGAGAAAGATGAGGCGTTGTGCTCTGGTACAGAGTTGCAGCCTCAGAAACTCCCAGGGACAGGTCTGCCCTGTCCTTTGGTCGCTGAGGGTCGGACCGGCAGTGAGGTTTTTTGGGTTTGTGAGCTGGAATCTCCATGATGACAGTCATGTAGTTTGAGTGTGTTCTCCAGTATGCAAATGGCCCAGCCTGTGGTATGGAGATGATCGATTGATTGATATCTTTCTGTTGAGTCATTCCTTCTCACACCCCTGCTCACGGAGCCCCTGCCACCCTGCTCCGGATTGTTTTTCTTATAGCAGCCACTGCACATGTCACGGAGCGATTCTCCTGCAGCCCCTAGTTGGCCCTTCTACCCAGGAGGAAGGGCCAGCATAGAAAAGAGAAAGAACAGGTGTGCCCAGCCCACCTCTTGCCTGTGGGGGAAGTCCCTTCGGCCTCTTTCCCAGGGGCGTGCCGTCGGCCACATGAGCTGCAGGCTGGTGTTTGGAACGCTGGTGGCATGGCTTACAGTGGCATCACAGCACGCAGCATCCCCCACACGATGGAAGGGCGATGGTTTCCAGTGGTCACAGCTGTCCAAACCGTAGGACCACAGGGGCTCCAAGAAGTCCTTGGAAAAATGGAATCAAACGACAGTGGATGTTTTCCACCAGTGTTTTGAAGCTGCCCTTGTACAGGATCAAATCCAAACACGGATCTGTCCACTGATCGCATGATGCTTTCTACCTTGGACTGGCATTCTTCTCCCTGGAACCTTCAGGGGAATCTTCAATGTAGAGAGAAGCTGGAAGAACAGTCCGCTCCCCCCACCTGAATCCATCCATGGTGGACATTCCCCACTCTGGCTTCGTTAGGCCCTCTATTGCTCGCCCTCTGGGCAGCGAAGTCGCTCCATTGAGCCCACGGCATCAGGAGGTTTTAGTCAGGGCTTCATCTCTCAAGACGGAAGACTTTCTCCACCCCATCCCCCACTTGGTGCCCCCTGGAATATAGCACCCTTCCCCGGATTCTCTCTATTCCGATGTCTGCTGGAGCACCCCAGAGCCTTTCAGGGGCTTCCATGGTGATGCGTTTTTCTCTTAAATCTCTTTTTCTAGAAGGGGATCTTCTCCTTGTGTTTTCTGGGGGGGGGGTGTGTGCGCGTGCGCATGTGCGCCATTCTCAGCCAGTAGCTTTGGGGGGTATTTCTGGATATTTTGAACACAGCACTCTAGCAAGAGTGTCAAGTCAGGAGGCTGACCCACTGTTGGCGACTCCAAGTCTAATCCGCTCTCCTGTGAGGGTGAACCACGTGGCTTGTGGACTTGCCACATAATCTGTGGGCAAAGCTTTGGCCAATATGGTGTCACCTGGCTTAGCGGTCCTGCCGCGAGGCAGTTCCCCCTTAGGCACAGCAGAATGGCGATGCCCATGTGCTGCCGGTCAAAGTCTTCGGTCTTGAGCGCACCAGGAAGCCTCTGGCGGTGGGAGTGAAGGGGGCGGTTGAGGAAGCACTGGCTTCCTGATTGCAGGGATCACCCCGGGTGAGACGTGGGGCCAAGCAAGGCGGATGCGAACCCATCGCTGGTTCAGGTGAGAGAGATGGACTGTTTCTCCGGCGGGGGCCGTGGATCAGAAAAGAAGAGACACAAGTCTGTGACTCCGTACTGCCTTGGTGGTGACAATTGGAACAACCCCGGTCTTCTTCCCCGGTCCCCTTGTGGGCCATCACTCTCCCCGAGCCAGCAGGAACAAACCGGCTTTCCCTGGAACCTACGACAGGCCAGTGCACTGAGGTCAGTAGCTCCCAGGACTGGAGGGAGGCCGAGGGCCAGGGTTGATTAGGAAGTGCTGCCTGGCTGGTGCTGGTGTGACAAAGTGGCAAAGCAAAAGCACACTGGTGATGTAGAGCCTGATCAAGGCAATCCATCTCACTGAATTGTTGACGTGCAAAAACGTTGAGTGGGCACCTGTGGGGCCAGCTAGCATCTTTTGACAACCATCATATCCCAGCCCTCACCCTGACAACTCGTAGCTTCCTGCACCTTTGGGCCCTCTGGGCTGGCTCTCAGCCGTCCTGGGGCCCCTCTGTTGGCTGCACCAGCCACTGCCATGGTGAGCGCCCCCTGCGGCCGACAAGGAATCTTTGCAGAGTCTCCTCTCCCACAATGTGCAGTGTTCTGTTTGATCAGCAAAGTGCTAAACCTCAACAGCTGAGCCATACTAATGAGGGATGGGATTGTGTCTCTTAGAAGGGGGAGGACAAAAAAAGTGGGGAGAGTGGGAAAAATAGGCTTCTCTTCCAGAATAATAAAAACCAGTTCTTGTGTCTCAATTATTAGACTCTGAAGAGTGACCAGGAAGAAAGCCAGCAATTTCCTGCAATAGAGAGGCCACTGCATTCCACCTTCCAGTGGGGGATCGCAGCCCGGTCCCTGCAGCATGGACCGCTGGACAAAGTGGGAAGACCGCGTGGTCAAATAGGGACTTCAGAGGGAAAGCCGGGAAGCTTCTGGTCCTCAGGGCTGGGGAACAGAGCGCACAGTAGGGAGCATCAAAGGCAACCGACTGACTCTTCTGTCTTGGCCTTGTATGCGCCACTGGCCTCTCCTGTCCTAGAGGCCTCTCTCACCAAAGGATCATTGGAGCCACCTGCTGTCCCTCCAAGTGTTTATTCCCGGCAGGGGGCACGCCGGGTCTGCCACCACACGGCAAACACAGCTAAACCAGCATTGCTCTTGGGCGTACAGAGAATGTGTCCTCCCCCGTTACATCAGCTGATGGAAGCTGTCCACAATGGCCTCGGTCGCATGTGCCAACAGGACCGTGGGCCAGGGACGTGTCATCTGTCATGTGTGGGGTTGCCTTGTGTGGGAGTCAGTGCCACCGCATCTGAAGACACCTCTGGTGTTGAATCCACTGAGTAACCTCTTCCTGAGAGGTCCTGGCTGAGAGGACTTTGGGCTGAAACGGCTGTTTAAATTCTCCCCAGTGCCTCGGTCTTCACAGCCATTGCACCTAATTATGATTCCGTAGATTAAATAAATGAGAAATGTCCACCATTCCACACTTCCAGCCGTGGCCTGGTTTCTCTTAAGTCATTTCCCAGTCGCCTTGCCCGTTGCCAGAGAGTGTGTGCCAGATCAGGCCGCCGGAGAGCGTCTCCAGAGAGCGTGTGCACTGGGAGGGCTGGGTGCTCTTCACTCACATGCTTGTTGTCCCGCCCTGGAGGAAGTCTCCGGAACCTGCCAGGCACTGTGGGAGCCCCTGAGGACTCAGCCCCACCACCACCACACAGCAGCAGGAGGCATCTTAGCCAGCATGGGTGAGGGGTGGCGGCGAGGCGGTGCAGACCCCAGCCTCGGTGCGTTTCAAATCGATCCATGAGCATTATCTGCAGGGCCCCAGCAAGCATGGCTATGCAGTTTAGGGGATGCTGTGCTCTGTGTAAGACCCTTGGGGGCCCCAAGAGGTCTGTACTTGGCTGTTGATGGAAAGATCATCCAGCAGCACTTTGGGGAGAAAAACAACAACGAATGAACATAAAAAACAGGCAGTCTGATTCCTGGACGACAATCCCCATGGGGCCCGGTTCTCCGTGGGCTTGGCCTGCCTGGAAGCGTCTGGTGGCTCAGCTTCCGCTGCTCCCTGGAAGTCAGGCAGGTCGCCCCCGGCTTGCTGCATGTCTACAGAGGGCTGGGATTTCTGGTGGAGACTTTTGATTTCATGAATTCCATGGGGAAAGGAAGCAATGATAATACAGCCACTCCTTGGGGTACGACCCACCCCTTTCAAAACTCACTGCCCTCGAGCCAATTGTGACTCACGGCAGTCCTATAGGACAGGGCAGAGCTGCCCCTGCGGGTTCTGACACTGTCATCCTCCTCTTCCACCTGCACAGCTCCTGGGGGTTTGAACTGCTGACCTCGTGGTTAGCAGCTCCATGTGTAACCACTATCCCCCAGGCTCCTCCTATCACCCTCTTCAGGCCCGCTGTATTAAACATTCGAGGTATCTGCAAAAGACTTTCAGAATTTCTGTGGGGGAATAAAAATCCCATTATCATTCCATTCCATTTCCCACGGCCTTTTTGCAGCCAGCTTGTACAATGGTCTGTAATAACAAAGAGACACCGCTCTGTAGCTGCCTGGAAACGTTTCTATTATTGTAACTGTATTCCTACGTTGAGGACGGGTCCCTCTGTCTGCACGGCATGCTCGCTAAAGCAGAAAGTGTAGCAAGGAGAGGGAGACCCTCAGTGAGAAGGCTCGATACGATGGCTGCTACCATAGGCTCCAATGTCACAAGGCCGGGCAGGGGTCGTTCTGTTGTATGTCCGGCCGCGATGGTCAGACATCACCTGTCAACGAGCGTTGTGTCTGGCACTGTGCCTTTCGTGTTGCTTGTTTTATGCATGGAACGGTATGCCGTCCACTGTCTGCAAAGACAGACCTTTGTCTAATGCAAATAGATACGAAGGGAGCTCTGGTGGTGTAGTGGTTACGCACAGAGCTGCTAAGTGCAAGGTCCGCAGTTCTAAACCACCAGCCGCTCCTCTCCAGGAACACGGGCTTTCTACTCCCATTAGCGCTCCAGTCGCAGAAACCCACAGGGGCAGTTCTGCCCTGTCCTACAGGGTCTCTGTGAGTGGTCATCAAGTCATGGCAGTGAGAGGTTGGATAGATACAAACAGTACCTCACTGTCACGACTTAGAGACAGACCGGGGATGGCAAGTCCTTTGTGAGCAGGGGACAGTCCATATCAGACACTCAGCCTGGTGGCCCTTGTTTCTGATGGATAAAACAACCGGGTTGAGAGTAAATATGCGTAAAAGCAAGAAGCCATCTGTGTATCCACGGCTATCCTGTTTCCCCGCTGGCAGAAGCGGAGAGCGTGGACCGAGGTCCTCTGTGGACACTTACTCTCTGTCTGAGGGGCTCTTTCCAAAGCCCTCCTTGAGCGAGGGTGCTCAGCTAGCCAGGGAGACCCAGGGGCCCACCGCTCCTGTGAAATACATCTTCGTTCATCGCTAGTGTGATTTCATCCCACTGAAAACGAGGTCCTTTGCACCCCATCCCTCCCCTGCCGCTGGCTGGCCTGTGCTGAACGGTCGCTTTTCCTTTCAGGATTTCCTGATGGAGACATTCATCATGTTTAAGAACCTCATCGGGAAGAACGTCTACCCTTTCGACTGGGTGATCATGAACATGATGCAGAATAAGTAAGTAGCAGGAGGGGGCTCCGCCTCGCACCTGGTCCCTGGCTGTCGTCTTGGGAACGGAGGCGTCTCCAGGCACTCTCAGGAGCAGCCCCATGCCTGTGTCGGGGACCTTTATCCGGGCAATGTGCTGCAGAGTGAAGTGACTGCTGAAGTCAGAGTGAGGCTTTGCTTTACGTCCTGACACACTGCTCCGGGAGGAAAACACCAAACACCGGGCCCTTGTGGGAAAGGGACAGCTTGTATTTCCCGCCGAGTTCTCACCACGTGTTGTTCTCAGGATCCAGAGCCATTCTGTGCTCTCGGCACACAGGTGTCTGCGTACCACACATTTCAGGTGACTACATATCTGTGTGCCCTGCGTGTTTTCTTCGTTGCTCATGACACGAGAGGTCGGGGCCTTGTTGGTCATCTCCGTTTGAGGGCTCCTGACAAATGTCTCCTGGGATTTGTGTTGGGATCATCATAGATCCCAGTGCCGTGGTATGGACAGCTCGGTGGGTTCTGGTGCCCATGCTGTCTGGGTCCCTGCGGTGACAACAATGTGTAGAACTTGATCACCACCAGGAAACAGCGCCACGCTCCCTCCGGCCTCCCTGGTTAGTGGGTGGCCTCGGCTCTAGACCATTTTAGCAGGGGTTCAGTCATGCACCTCACAGCCAAGATCCTGGACATGCTCCTGACCACAAAGGCCCCTCCTGTTTATAACCACACCCACCCCTGCCCCCTACCGCTGCCCTCCAAATGCCAGCCCCTCACGAAACCGCTCCCCACTTCCAGTGTGGTCCTTTCAAAGAGGGCCGAGGAAACAGACCCA